TTACAATTTATAATCATATAATTGTCAGACTGAAAAGAATGGCAATCACCAATATTGTAAGGATGTGAGGAAACAGGCATTCTCAAACATTTGGTTCTCTTTCCAGGCTCAATAACTTGGTAATTGATCTTTAGGTATCCATTTACCTACGTACAGTATACTTTTTATAGGATCCAAGTGTATTTTAGAATTCCTTGGATCCCTAAATTTCCAGCATAGCTGTTATTTAATAAACTTTGGGGATGGATTTTTATGGAAAAACCATGGGAGTCTTTAGGAGACCATCCAAATTAACGACAGAAATAGGGCCAGCTGTGGTGACTCATGCATATAATCCTAGCAACTAGGGAGGCTGAGGCAGGAGAACAGCAAGTTTGAGGCCAGCCTCACCAACCTAGTGAGGCCCTAAGCAACTTAGCATGATCCTATCTCAAAAATAAAAAGGGCTGGGAATGTGGCTCAGTAGTTAAGTGCCCTTGAATTCAATCTGTAGCTATTCACCCCCCCCCCAAAAAAAAAAAGGGAAAGTATTTTGTTAAAAAAAAAAATCTTCAGAGTCATAAACTGGATTTTGTATGGAGAATTTATGGCTTTAGTATGTGATTATGGTTTCAGTTGATAAGATTCTCTCCTTAGCATCTTAACATGTTTCCTACCTATTTTACAAGTGTTTGAGTAGAGAAGTTGCTTTATGTTTTTCTCTGTACCCTTCCTAAACAAATGTAATTTTTTTTTCTTAGTGAAAATGATTGTTGGAAGGAGACCCTCAGAGTTATACAAAAGTACATACAAGAGGAAGTGAGGGGAAAGGGAAAAATAATACAAGGGGGACAAATGAATGTCAGTAGAGGGGGCAGAGAGAGAAGAGGGGAGGGGAGGGGAGGGGAGGGGGGATAGTAGAGGATAGGAAAGGCAGCAGAACACAACAGACACTAGTATGGCAATATGTAAATCAATGGATGTGTAACTGATGTGATTCTGCAATCTGTATATGGGGTAAAAATGGGAGCTCATAACCCACTTGAATCAAAGTGTGAAATATGATATATCAAGAACTATGTAATGTTTTGAACAACCAACAATAAAAAATTAAAAAAAAAATAAAACACACACACACACACAAAAAGAAAATGATTGTTGTTTTTGGGATAAACTAAACATGCTTGCAGTGTTAGAGGAGCAGACAGATATTATAGTTGGTCTAGGTCCAGACTAGGTTTTGCTATTTTGTATAGTCTAGGAGCCTTGGGTTAGGACCTTTTCCACATTGCTTTTTCATCTATGAAAGCAGGAACTGCTGTTTCTACCAGTCTCAAAATTGTATGGAGATTAAATGTTTCAATATATACAGTGGTTCACTGAAATGTAAAGTATACATATTAGTATGTTGGTATTACTAGTACTACTTGCACCACCACTACTACTATTACTACTAGAATTTTAGCCATATATTGAATTGATAAGTGTCACATAGTATATATGTACTTCTCTTTGTACATACTTGTCTTAACATTGTTATCCAAGCCCTTCGGTGTTAACCAGGGCTTTTCTAGTTTTTAATCCCTGTGATTTAGCTCTGGTTATAGTGGGATGATTGAATGGGTCACTGCTAATTTAGCACTCTCTAATGTAGATACTTGATTTGAATAAGTCTGTTCTTATATTGTTTGACTACATGTCATTTTCTCAATAAATTATCCAGGTTGTGCTTAACTGGTTGCACTTTGTAAAATTTCCACTTGAGGGTAGTGTTTCATCATGCAGGTGAACAAATTTATCAGTGTATTTCAGTTGATTTTGAAATTTCTTGTGCTTATTTAAAAATAGTCATAAAAAACTGTTAGCTGCATGTCGTAAAGTCTGGAAATTTTTTAACTGATTATTTCCTGTAATTTGAATAATTGCATGGAAATGAATAATTAATAGTCATAATTAGTCTTCGAAGAATCATTACTTTTTCAGCTCTTGAGGGATATTATAAGCCTCTTTATTATTTCATATCTGTAGAACATTCATTTTTATTTTTTAAAAATATTTTTAGTTGTAGATGAGTGTGATACCTTTATTTAATTTTATTTATTTTTTGTGTGGTGCTGAGAATTGAAGCCAGGGCCTTTTACTTGCTAGGCAAGTGCTCTACCATGGAGCCACAACCTCAGCCCCTGTAGAATATTTTATTTAAAATTTTTTTTTATATTTTAGTTTTAGTAAGACCGGTCATTGTATATATCCTATTATATTGTTAGGAAAAAGTATACCCCAGTCTACCTTTTGAAAAATGAATTTCTTAAAAAAAAAAAAAAAAGAATGAAAACACATTTGCCCTAGCTGGTTTTTAAGAGTGGCCTGGCATTGACTTTCTATCATCCCTTTTCCTTCTTAACTACCCAATCCTACTTTGAAACCTTGTTTCAATTTTTTAAAAAGTAAATTTTTCTAAAGAAAAAGATTGTGTTTTCAATTGTATTGAAAGATTTAAAATTCTAATGTGTACCATCACATCATTTATTAGTTGGTTATTTTTTATGGCTGTATTTCTTAAAATCTATGGATTACTCCCCCCCCCCAATTTATTGTGCAGATTCTTTCTTTCAAGTATTTTTCTTGAATTCTGCTTTTTCCAAGTTATTTGGCATTGATTATTTGATATTCATTAATTTTTTTTGTGTTACTTCGTATACTTTGCCTTGGATTATTATATAGATTACCTTTGTTATTCATCTCTGTTATTTAGTTATGTTGGCCCTGTTATTTAGTTATTGACCTTGGTACATACTTTGTAATATATTAGTGTATAATCTGTGTTGCTGTTGTGGTCATATACTTCAATTTTAGTAAATTAGAAACTCTTTGTGGGCAAGCATTGTTCTTACAGATTTGTGTGTTCCTCTAGATTATTTTGAAAATAGTAAATGTGCAATTATTTTAATAACTATATTATTGAATGTAGGAAAATGTCATGTGATATGGTCAGTTGTTAAATATATAAAGATGGAATCATGATATAAATTCGTGACTGAACATGTGTTAGTTCTGTATGTAATTTTTGACCTCTTTTAACAATTTTTTTTTTTAAGTGGTACAGGAGATTGAAACCAGGGCCTCACATATGCTAGAAAAATGTTTTACTACTGACATCCCTTTTCTTTTCTTTCTTTCCTTCCTTCCTTCCTTCTTCCTTTCTTTCTATATATTATTTATATATGACAGTGAAATTCATTACAATTCTTATTACACAAATAGAGCACATTTTTTCATATCTCTGGTTGTATACAAAGTATATTCACACCAATTTGTGTCTTTATACATGTGCTTTGGATAATAATGTCCATCACATTCCACCATCATTAATAACCCCATGCAGCTCCTCCCTTCCTCTCTAACCTCTCTGCCCTATCTAGAGTTTGTCTATTCCTCCCATGCTTCCTCTCCTATCCCAATATGAGTCAGCCTCCTTATATCAAAGAAAACATTTGTTTTTTTGGGATTGGCTAACTTAGAATTATCTTCTCTAACTCCATCCATTTACCTGCAAATGCCATGATTTTGTTCTCTTTTATTTTTGAGTAATATTCCATTGTGTATATATGCCACATTTTTTTTTATCCATTCATCTATTGAAGGGCATCCAGGTTGGTTCCACAGTTTATCTATTGTGAATTGTGCTGCTAATTTTTTATTTTGAGACAGGGTCTTGCTAAATTGCTCAGGCTGGTTCAAACTTGCAATCTTCATGCCTTATCCACTTGAGTACCTGAGATTATAGGCTTGTGCCACCAAGCCTGGCAACAGTTTGTGTTTTTTTCATTCTAGAACATGATAGTATATTTTATGAAAATTTAAAAAATTTACAAGTGTTTAATAGTTTAAACCATGCTAGTAGTTTAAAACCATGCTTTTTTTTTAATCACCATTCATGTAAACAAAGATTTTCTTGACCCGAAGATTTTTCACATTGTATGTTTAATCTCTTCATTTTGTTGTAGTAAGAACACTTAATATGAGATCTACCCTTTTAACTGATGTTTGTTTACAAAATAACAAGCGCTGTGTTGTATAGCAGATCTCTAGAACTTATTCATCTTGCATAATTGAAACTTTGTGCTCATTAGTTAGCAACTACTTCCATTTCCAACCTCTCCCTAGTTCCTGGAAACCACCATTCTGTGCTATTCAAGATGTTCCATGTAAGTGGAATCATTCAGTATTTGTCCTTCTCTAACTGTTCTTTTCACTTAGCATAATGCGTTTGTGATTTATCCCTTTTATTTATTCATCTATCCTTGGACATTTAGATTGTTTCTATACCTGATTATTGTGAATAATGCTGCATTGAACATGAAATGCTCATGTCTTTTTGATATTTGAAGAGAATTTCCCTTCACTTTCATTCTGATTTCATTTTTTTCTGGATGCATAACCTCAAGTGGAATTGCTGTATCATTGGTAGTTTTAATTTTTTTCATTTTTTATTAGCACATATTAGTTATACATTATTAGTAGGATTCTGTGTGATATTTCCATACATTCATACAGCATTGTGTTGATTCATATCCCACTACCCTTCTTCCACCCTGTCCCATTCCTTCCTGTCCCTAGTAATCACTGTTGTTTCAGTATAACTTCAATTTTTCCCCCCAGGTACTACTATATTGTCTTTGGCGTATTGAATCATGAAGTGATTTTCACGTTTTTTCTTTTAACTGAAGAGTTGAGCCACTCTTTTTTTTTTTTTCTTCCCAAGAGGACAGCCTTGTAAAGTTAAAAATTTCATGTAACGAACTTGTGTTCTAAGTGTTTTTGCTGGTTCTTTGTGTCTGTTCAGAAACAAAGAGGCATGTCCTGAAAATGCTTATGGTGTTTTTAGCAAGTCGGGGAAAGGAAAGGAAAAACTTGGGCATGTCATTGAGGAAATAGACTAGTAATTTGAATTTCATTTCTAACCTATGTTTTGAAGCTCTAGAAATTAAATTAATTGGTATTTGTTTTTTGCACTGCAGTGAATGATTTAGGAGGGGACTTCAAGGGAGTTGGTAAAGGCTCCTTAGCTGCTGATAAAGTTGTTGAAGAAATAAAAAGGAAAGGTGGAAAAGCTGTGGCCAACTATGGTATGTATTTAAGATAACTGTATTATTTCTTTTGTTTTCCTTTGGTTGATGCATTTGCTTACATTAATAATCTTTGAGAAAATATCTTAGCATTTCTATGTAATTATGAAGTTAGATTTTTATCTAAGTCTGTCACAGTTCTTATGCTACATAATACATAATATGTGAGAATTTAAAAAACTTTTGATTTAAATTATTTCACATGATTATACTCATTTTTCTGTTTAATCATTTTATTAAGGAGCACATGATACATAATTAATAAATTATAGATACAGTTTGTTTGTATTCTCAAAAGATCTGTTTTTGGTGGGGTTCTTTTATTTTGTCTCTTTTTGGAACTGGAGGTTGAACCCAGGGCTTTGTGAAAGCAAGGTAGACTCTTTGCCATTGAGCTACATCCCAGCCCCAAAGATCTATTTTTAATGGCTGGGGTTGTGGCTTAGTGGTAGAGTGCTTGCTTTACATGTGTGAGGCACTGGATTTGATTTTCAGCACCGCATATAAATAAATGAATAAAATAAAGGAATATGAACAACTAAAAAATATTTAAAAAAAAGATCTGTTTTAGCAGGGCATGGTGGCACATGTCTGTAATCTCAGCTACTCAGGATACTGAGGCAGGGGGATTGAGAGTTCAGGACCAGTCTGAGCAATTTAGTGAGAATCTGTCTCAAAATAAAATAGAAAGAGCTGAGATATAGCTCACTGATAGAGCACTTGCCTAGCATGCACAATGCCCTGAGCTTGATGCCCAGTACAGCAAGGGGAAAAAAAAGACGAAAGAAATAGAGAGATCTGTTTCATTAAAAGGTCTTATATATATATCTATAGAATGATCTTAAGAGTATTTTTTAAAATATTTTTTTCATTGTAGATGAATACTATATCTTTGTTTATTAATTTATTTTTATGTGGTGCTGAGAATTAAACTCAGTGCCTCACATGTGCCACGCAAGCACTCTACCACTGAGCTATAGCCCCAGCCCGATCTGAGTCTTTTTAAAAATCTTTTAAAAAGATTCTTATAAATATAGTATAAGAAGTGAAATGACACCTGTTTCTGTATTAGCTTCTATGTTCCATTTCTGCACAAGTTGTCAATGCTATATGTAACTTTCTTATCTTAGTAAAACTGTAAGAATCCAATTAGGTGTTAAATGAAGTCATGGGCAGAGGTTGGGTGGAACAGTAAATGCAACCTTTACATTTGATGTGTTCATCCTAAATCCTAATACTGGGGATTGAACCACGCATGGCCTCATGCATGCTAGGTAAGTTCTCTACCACTGAGCTATATCCCCAGTCCTTTTTTTTGTATTTTGAGTCATGGTCTCATTAAAGACGTCCTTGCTGAAGATACTCTTGCCTCAAACTCTGTAGCTGTTATTATAGGCATGCACCACTTTACTTTTTTTAAAATATATATTTTAGTTGTAGATGACATGATAACATTTATTTATTTATTTGTTTATGTGTTGCTAAGGATAGAACCCAGTGCCTCACACGTTAGGCAAATGCTCTACCACTGAGCCCCAACCCTAGCCTGCTTTTTTTTTGAATGTTAAGAATTTTAATTGATTCATCACAAAAGCATTGAGCAAATGTAATAATGTTAATAAAATTCTTTAAATATTTAAAAGAATTTTTAAAAAATCAGTGCAGAAAATAGCATTAAAATTGTTTGGCATAATTACACACATTTTAATCTTTCACATTCTCTTTTTTTTAATACCTTTATTTTGTTTACTTATTTTTATGTGGTGCTGAGGATTGAACCCAGTGCCTCGCAGGTGCTCTGCAACTGTGCTACAATTCCCCACCCCCCAACAGTTTCACATTCGTTTTGGAATTCTAGTTTTAAAATTTGTAACCATGTTAACATATAGGCAAATAAAAAAGATTGCAGTTGAACAGATTTTATATAGAGTCACACAGATTGGAAAACTATTTCCTCAAAATCTTATGGTCAGGGCTGGGGTTGTGGCTCAGAGGTAGAGTGTGCATCTTGCATGCATGAGGCACTGGGTCCTATCCTCAGCACCACATAAAGTAAAATAAAGACATTGTGTCCACCTGTAACTAAAAAAATAAATATTTTTTAAAAATCTTATGGTCAGCAGTTCAATGATTTTTAAGTCAAAATCTGAATAATTTTTAGCTTTTCAGTTTTAAGAATTATCCCAGAGGTGGGTGAGTTAGTGCATACCTGTAATTCCAGTAGTTTAGGAGGCTGAGGCAGGAGGATCGCAAGTTCGAAGCTCTAGCCTCAGCAATTTATTGAGGCCCTAAGCAATTCAGTGAGACCTTATTTCTAAATAAAATACAGAAAAGGATTTGAGATGTTGCTCAGTGGTTGAGTGCCCCTAAGGTCAATCTCCGGTACCAAAAAAAAAAAAAAAAAAAAATTCTAGGAAAATGTTTGCACATTTAAGTGTATGGTATTTACATAACATTGTTTGCCAGCTTAGATATATTTACTAACCTTGGTCCTTGGTTACATTTTATGTAACCAAAAATACCATCTGGGGCTGGGGTTGTGGCTCAGTAGTAGAGCATTTGCCTAGCATGTGGAAGGCACTGTGTTTGATTCTCAGCACTGCATATAAATAAATTAATTAAATAAAGGTCTATCAGTAACTTAAAAAAATACCCCATATAATCCAACTAGGCCTCCATTTTATTGATGACTTCAATTACCAGGAATAAGTTCCCTAAAGTTAAGTAGCAGTACCTGTATTTTCTTTCTTCCTTCCTTCCTTTCTTTTTTTCTCTCTTTTTTTTCTTTCTTCCCAGTCTCCCTCCTTCCTTCCTTCCACAAGGGATTGAACTCAGGGGTGCTCAACCACTGACACACATGCCCAGAGCTTTTTTATTTTGAGACAGGGTCTTGCTAAGTTGCTTAGGGCCTCACTAAATTGCTAAGGCTGGCCTCAGGCTTGCATTCCTCCTGCCTCAGCCTCCTGAGTTGCTGATATTACAGGTGTACGTCACCATGCCTGGCAGTATAGGTTTACTTTTAAAAGCTAATGGTTTAAAACCTATATAGCACAAGAGTTAAAATCAAGAATCAACAAATGGGACGAATTCAAACTAAAAAGTTTTTTTCTCAGCAAGAGAAATAATATGTGAGGTAAATAGGGAGCCTACATCCTGGGAACAAATTTTTACCCCTCACACTTCAGATAGAGCTATAATCTCTAGAGTATACAAAGAACTCAAAAAGTTAAAACAACAAAAATTAAATAACCCAATGAATAAATGGGCCAAGGACCTGAACAGACACTTCTCAGAGGAGAATATACAATCAATCAACAAATACACAAAAAAATGCTCATCATCTCTAGCAATAAGAGAAATGTAAATTAAAACTACTCTAAGATACCATCTTACTTCAGTAAGAATGGCAGCCATTATGAAGTCAAACAACAACAAGTGCTGGTGAGGATGTGGGGAAAAAGGTACACTCGTACATTGCTGGTAGGACTGCAAATTGGTGCAGCCAATTTGGAAAGCAGTATGGAGATTCCTTAGAAAGCTGGGAATGGAACCACCATTTGACCCAGCTATTCCTCTTCTCAGACTATAGCCAAAGGACCTAAAAAGAGCATACTACAGGGACACAGCAACATCAATGTTTATAGCAGCACAATTCACAATAGCTAGACTGTAGAACCAACCTAGATGCTCTTCAATAGATGAATGGATAAAAAAAAAAAATGTGGCATATATACACAATGGAATATTATGCAGCACTAAAAAATAACAAGATCATGGCATTTGCAGGAAAATGGATGGCATTAGAGCAGATTATGCTAAATGAAGTTAGCCAATCCCTAAAAAACAAATGCCGAATGTCTTCTCTGATATAAGGAGAGCAACTAAGAACAGAGTAGGGAGGAAGAGCATGAGAAGAAGATTACCACTAAATAGGGAAAAGAGGTGGGAGGGAATGGGAGAGAGAAGGGGAATTGCACGGAAGATGGAAGGAGACCCTCATCATTATACAAAATACATGTATGATGATGTGAGGAAAAAAAAAGAAATGTGTCACATTAGATTGGGTAGAGAGAGTTGATGGGAGGGGAGGAGAGGGGAAGGGGGTATAGGAAGGGCAGCAGAATAAAATAGACACTAGTATTGCTGTATGTATATAGTTGACTGCATGACCAATGTGATTCTGCAACCTGTACACTTGGAAAAATGAAAAATTATACCCCATTTGATTCAAATGTATGATATGTCAAGATCATTGTATTGTCATGAGCAACTAATAGAAAAAAAAAAAAAAGCTAATGGTTACTGACCTGAAAACTAGATTGTTTTCATGGGCCAGAAATAAAATTACATAGACGTCATTTCGAAATTTTCGGGGAGAGGAAATAGGATGTGGTTTGAATGTTTGAGGGAATAAGACATTTTACTATTTTCTTTGCACATTGGAGATCTAGCAACAATGTTTTCAATTTTATTTCATTTGTGTACTTTTGTGTGGTGCTAAGAATTGAACCCAGTGCCTCACACATGCTAGGCAAATGCTCTGCCACTAGTTACAGTGCCAGCCCAATGTTTTCAATTTTAAAACTCTGTATTTTTGAAAACCCATTTTTTAACTATGAAAATTCCAGACTCCCCACTTTACCAATTTTGATATGCTGTCTATATCAGTTAGGGTTCAGTCAGAAAAACAGAAGCCTCTCAAAGTTTTCCAAGTATGTAGAGCTTTAATACAGGGAACCAGAAGCTGGCACAGCCATTAGAAGAGCTGTGCAAATGAGTGTCAGGGAGGCTGCCAATGACCAGGTTAGTCTGAACGTGGATATGCAGTTAGTCTTACATCTGTACCCTGCACCAAGATTGCCTGTGTTTGTAACATTGTACTGTGCTATCTCCTAGGTGAATATAGATCGAACATCACAATTATGGGGATTTTTACCCTTACCTGGGGCTGATTAGTGGAAGATAACAAAGCCTCGAGATTTTGTTGAGCTTTGCTTTTTCTGTTTAGTATTGTATACAAATAGTAGATTTGACCAGATGCAGTGGTACACTCCGTAATCACATCGGCTCCGGAGGCTGAGATAGGATTGTGGGTACAAAGCCAGCCTCAGCAACAAGGAGGTGCCAAGCAGCTCAGTGAGACCCTGTCTCTAAATAAAATAGAAAATAGGGCAAGTGCCCCTGAGTTCAATCCTGTTACCAAAAAATAAAATTAAAAAAAATAATTAAATAAAAATAGTACATTTAATTTCCATATAACACTAAATATGTTTTTTCAAATTAAAAAGGCACCTCTTTCTCCTCCAAATACTCATTTGTATCCTTGAAGGGAAATGCCACTGTAGTTATTTAAAATTAAACATAAATTAAGTAAAATTAAACATTAAATTTGTCACACTAGCCATATTTTGAACCCTTGGTAGCTCCATGTTGAGTGGTTTCCACATTTGGACATTGTGGGAATAGGACATTGCCATCCTCACAGAAAGCACTGATCAATAGGTTGGTGCTGCTTTAAGAGTATTTGTCAAAGATTTCTTAATAATCTTCCTCATCACTCCTTTTCTTATAGGTTAAATAATTATTTAGGGGCCAAATATCCTTTATAATATTAGAGGATCAGTGTTTCAGTATGTTATGTGCTTGCAATAGAAATGTATTTTTCTTGAAAATGAGTTCTATTGGGTGAATGGGATAAGTCATTGTGAAGGAGATTGCTGAAGTTTTGTATTAATTTCTCTTTCCCTCAGATTCTGTGGAAGCAGGAGAGAAGGTTGTGAAGACAGCACTGGATGCGTTTGGAAGAATAGGTGATGTTTCTTTTCATCTGTGGTCCTGATGGAGCACCTTCTACCTCTCTAATAAAATATTTTTGAATTTTCTATTAAACAAATCTCTTTCTTGAAGATATTCTTAGATTTGTTTTCTATGTTGATTATTTTATTTAACTCACCTTATTTCGTAAAGGACTGAGGTGGCAGTTTTATGAATATATGTTTATTGTTTTTGAACCTTAAGTGCTTATAAAAATTTGTACATTTTCTCAGTGCCCTTTTTGTAATAATTCAGTTAAGTCTTAATTATGTTTATAAGAAAAATAAGTCAGTATTTTGTCAATAAAGGACCCTTCAGATTCTTTTGAAGAATTATAACGATTTGGATAAAAATGATCTGACATCTTGTAAATTAATTAAGATGATTGTATGAAGTAAAAAAAAAATTCATTTTTTAAAGAAGCATTTCAAATATAGTGGTTAGGCCATATTTCCCTAGATAATCTTCCTGGTTTAGTTCTACATATTTTTACTGAAAGTTTAAAGAATTACTATGAAGAAAAATTACTGCAGATAGCCCAATATGTTTATAATCTGAAAAAGATTACTTTTTGTAAATTGAATGTGTGCCCTCCCTTTTTGTTAGATCTAGCATATTTATTTTCGAATTATATTAGGTTGAACTCAAAAGCCATTTTCAGATACCTCTGATAGAGACACAAAGTTGTGAAGTTGAAGTCATAGGGTAAAAATAGCTATAAGATGGTGGTTGAATATTAAAAAATAATTGTTTTCTCTATATAGTGAGAATACAAATATGTATCAAAATAGGACATCAGTTTCTAACTTTAATGATTTCTCTTTGAGTTTTGGACTTTTCAGTGGCAGTGACAGTGAAAAGTCTTTTTTTTTTAATACCTTTAATTTTATTTATTTGTTTGTTTTTATGTGGTGCTAAGAATTGGGCCCAGTGCCTCACACGTGTTAGGCAAGTGCTCTACCACTGAGCTACAACCCCAGCCTGAAAAGTCTTTTAAACTTAAAATTTCAAGTGATTTTGAAGTTAAGTGCAGGGTGGCTGTGGTTCTGGAGTCTTAGAATCCAAGAGTTGTGCAATAGCTTATTCTTTAAATAAGCCGATAGAATTTTGGTAGAAGATGGAGGTGGAAAAATTTAAATTTATAAGTTTGAAAGGAAGGCACTGATGTTATATGATACTTGTGCTTTTGTGAATTAGTTTTTTTTCCTGTAAGCATAAATTTTTGTTTTGATAGTATTCTTTGTCTATTATATTTAACTCTTCTATGTAATTTTGTAAGAAGTATGAGTTGTAAGCAAATACAAATGAATATGCTTGCTTTTGTAGTTGTGACTTGGATCTTTTTATATTTATTGTAGATGTCGTGGTCAACAATGCTGGGTGAGTACTTCTTTTTTCATTTTTAGTAAAGTGCATGCAGTTGTTTATATAAGTGTATACTTCCCTGCCCTTTCTTACCTTATATAATATCAATATTTTAGAATTCTGAGGGACCGTTCTTTCAGTAGAATAAGTGATGAAGACTGGGGTAAGTTGTTTTAAATATGTTTCTCTAGAATATACCTATCCATTTTCCTTTTTGATATTTGATACATATATGGAAAAGGAAAACCCTTTCTCATATAAACTACATAAAAAAAGATGCATAGTTGGAAATAGCATTTTTAAAAACATTTTATAAATTTTAAATAATGTTAAATAATTTGGCAGAAGTTATCTGAAGGATTTCTTTTCTGTTTATTTCCCATTTTTCTCCCTAAGAGATGGTTAGTATTTTCTAGCAGCACTAACGCTTTCTGATAGTCTTTGTCCTTTTATCTAGCTGTGATTCTTTCAAGAGCAGAGCAGGATGTGGAAGAGAGTCTAGGGTACTAAAAATTAAAATGATGGTGATCTTTGAATAGGGTGGACAAAAAGTTTCGAGTTTAGTTAATGAACCAATCACAGTGATGATTGTTTTTTTCTTTGTTCTTACTTTCATTGGCCATCAGAACTAAAACAAACAGTGGTGGCTGAAAAAGTGGCAGTCTTGGCAACTGAGATGAGATAATTGTATCATTGTTTATAGCACATGCTTCTGTCCCCAGAAATCCTTTTGGGAAAAGCAAAACGTGGACAGTGATAGAGCACTTGCCTAGTATATACAGGCCTTAGGTTGATACCCAGCACCATTAAAAAAAAAATTCTTCTGACTTAGAATTAAGAGAAGAGGAGCTTTTAATTTTGTCTTTCTTTAAACAGCTGGGATAAGAAAGAAGTTGAGGAAAGATAAGGTTTACTGGCAAAGGGGGCTTATGTTAGTAATTTTCTTAGAGCTATAATGAATGAAGTGTTTCCTTCTCCTATTCTGTCCTTCTACAGTCATCACTCTTACCTTCTTCTAATGTACACATGAAAATATTTGTTGAAGTCATAAATTGAAACAAAAATAAGTAAGAATGGTTAAAAAACTTGACAATTAAAAGAATACATTAAATCTAGAGTGGCCTATCAATAACATTTCCTAAGTATTCTGTTGATTAGATTGAAATCTCTGCAAACACGTGGGTCTCTTTCTCTCCTTTCTGTCTCTGCCTCTCACTCTCTGTCCCCCTTACTCATTATTAAACTTTGGTAAAAAATATGGATATAGTGAGTATTTTGTAATTATTAATGATCTGTGTGCTTTATGATTATTTTTTTGATGTTGATGTTAAGTGCTAATTATGTATCTAAAATTCTTGGGTATAATAGCAAATTTTTATGTAAGATAGACCTTAATTAAAGCTGGCATTGCATTTAGATATGTATAGGGATTGAAATAATTTTATAAATTATAGGGAAAGTGGTTGTAAGAGTGGGTGTGAACCATTGATTGGTAGTGTAATTGAGCCAGAAGCAAAAATGGTTAACCAGAGAGGGGTGTGATAATAGCTGATTATGAATGCTTAGATATAAAGTGAGTATCTTTAATTAAATAAACCGTTGATTTTGAGACATGTATCTAATTTTTGACAAATTACATAAAAATAATTTCTTATTTTAGATATAATCCAGAGAGTTCATTTGCGGGGCTCATTTCAAGTCACCCGGGCAGCATGGGATCATATGAAGAAACAGAAATATGGAAGGTAGAATTTTATACAGCTATCAAGGAGGTTGAAGATGTTTGTGTGTGTGTGTGTGTGTGTGTGTATTTGTGTACAAAGAAAGATTATATAAAATGTTATGAAATATGTGTAGGCTTTTAAAATGTAGTTTTGGCACATTCACATTAAATTGGTGTTTTTTAATAGACATAGATTAGCTGAGCTGGCTGGCTTTGTATTTTTTTTCTCACCTCTTTTCATTATTAATAATTTTCCTCTTATTTGGCATTTTAGAAATTAGTATGAACGTTGAGGATTCAGTTTTTCTAAATAAAATGTCTTTTTGTGTGTTCAGTGACCAACTTGGGGAAAGATGAGTGGCTATTTCCTGCTAACTGATATTGGTCAGATCTGACTTAGTCTTCATAAACTGTTTAGGAACTGTAGGATTTTCCTTGTTTGGTCCTATATGTGTAACTAAGAATGTGGTGGTGGCCAGGTATGGTGGGACACGCCTGTAATCCAAGTGGCTCAGGAGGCCAAGACAGGAGGATCGTTGAGTTCAAAGCTAGCCTTAGTCATGTTGAAGCACCAAGCAACTCAGTGAGATCCTATCTCTAAATAAAATACAAAATAGGGACTGGGGACGTGGCTCAGTGGTCCAGAGCTCCTGAGTTCAATCCCTCATAGCCATCCTACCCCTCCCCCCACCCTGCCAAAAAAAGAATGTGGTGGTGGTAGTGCACTTAACTCAGTGTATGCTATTGCACTCTAGTGTCGGGGTCATCCCTATTAGAGTTGCAGCATATCTTCTAAAAACAAATTATTTGTGATGCCTGTTCTTACTGAAGATTTCTAGTTTATCATGATCCTTGGCAGTTTCTGAAAATAAATGATATGATTTATTTTATTTGGACTAAGTAGAATGAGGTTGAGTCAGATTTTAAGAGGGCATCGTATATTGGGGCATTTGATATTATCCAGAAGGGAAGAGAGGCAATGTGGTAAGGATGGAAGAATTAGAAATGCTTGATGTAATATTTCTTGCTAAAATATTTTTAAAATATTTATTTAGTTTTTTAGTTGTAGTTGGACACAACTATTTTTATGTGGTGCTGAGGATCGAACCCAGGGCATTGCACATGCTAGGTGATTGCTCTACCACTGAGCTACAACCCTAGTCCTCTTGCTAAAATTTTAATTTTAACTTACATGTTGCTAGTTTATATTTATAAATCTTATTGTTTTCAATATATAACAAATATCTATTATTATACTTAATTTCATTTGGCTCTGACTAGGGATTCTTCTCAAATAGTTACATCTTATTGTTGAATTTTGAGAGATTACTTTTATATCAGTATTTTTTAAGATATGAATCATGACTGTGAGAAGTTAATCACCCAAGAGTTGCTTTTGACAGTTGCAATCGTACCAAAATAAGGTTAGAGTTGTAAATTATCAAAACAGAAAAGAGAATGTTGAGAGACTGATTTTCCTTTTAGGATCATTATGACTTCATCAGCTTCAGGAATATATGGCAACTTTGGCCAGGCAAATTATAGTGCTGCAAAGTTGGGTATTCTGGGCCTTGCAAATACTCTTGCAATTGAAGGCAGGAAAAACAACATTCACTGTAACACTATTGCCCCTAACGCTGGATCACGGATGACTCAGACTGTTATGCCTGAAGGTAAGTTGTGGTTTTATTGCTATTACAAATGTGTGTGTGTGGGGGAAAAACAGTATTTAATTTTCTTAATACTCAAAAAAATTATTTTCTTTCCAATTTCTTTTTTTTAAAATATTTATTTTTTTAGTTGTACACAATACCTTTATTTTGTTTATGTATTTTTATGTGGTGCTGAATATTGAACCCAGGGCCTTGCACTTGCTAGGCGAGTGCTCTACCGCTGAGCCACAACCTCATCCCTTTCTTTCCAATTTCAAAAGCATTTTGTGTAATTGTTGTTCAGTGTTGAAAGTTAAAAAAAAAAAAAAAAAAAAAAAAACACCACACACACAAAGGAAAAAATAAAAAATGACTTGAATTTTAACATACTGAAGTAAACTTTCATCCTTTTTCTCTGCATAGATAGATACAAATGCATTTTTATAGAATGGGATAATAAATTCTTAACCCTTTTTAATGATTATAGAGAAATATAGAAAAATAATGTACTTTTTTTTTCTTTCCCCCAGTACTGGGGATTGAACTCAGGTGACTTTATAGCAGAGCTATATCCCTAGTCCTTTTTATTTTTTGGCACAAGGTCTTGCTAAGTTGCTAAGTCTGGCCTCAGATTTGTGATCTTCTGCCTCAGCCTCCTGAGTTGCTGTGATTACAGGTGTGCACCATTGTATCAGGCTAATACTTTATTTTTTAAAGCAGTTTTTGCTTTATAGAATTTTAGGCAGGTAGTACAGAAAGTTCTCATATATTTCTTCTATCCAGTTTTCCTCTCTGTTTACTATCTTGCATCAGTGTGGTAGGTATATGTGTTGTTACAGTCATTGAACCAGTATTGATTCATTATTATTAACTGAAGTTTATAGTGTGAAATGGGAATACTTTTGTGTTGCATAGCAGTATATTCTGTAATGTTGCATGTCTTCCATTATAGAATAGTTTCACTACTCAAAAAGTTTCGTGTACTTCATTTATTAATTTCTCCCCTTTTCTTTTTAATGCCTGGAGAAGATTCAAACTCATTCCTTTTATAATTCATTAATACTTCATGGTACAGATGTACCCCAATTTGTTTATTCATTCATTTATTGAGGGACATTTTGGTTGCTTCTAATTTTTTGACAATTATGAAGTAAAGTTGCTATAAACATTTGTGTGCAGATTTTTATGTGAACGTGTTTTCTACTCATTTGAATAAATACCAAGAAGTGTGACTGCTAAATGGTTGGTCAGACTGGGTTTAGCTTTGTAAGAAACCAGCCAAACAACTGGTAAAGCAATGAATTAGAGGTCTTGTTCTATGTCCGTGGCAGCATTTTTTTTTTTTTTTATTGTCAGTTTTTTGGATTTTAGTCTAATAGGTGTGAAATTCTCTCTCTCATTGTTTGAATTTGAAACTTCGTAGTGACATATGGTGCTTGGTATTTTCTTCTACATTATTTTTTTAAAATTCATTTATCTTTGGTGAATTATCTATTCAGATAATTTAAATTGAGGTTTTTGTTTGTTTGTTCATTTGTTTGAGTTTCAAGGGTTGTTTGTATATTTTGGAAACAAGTTCTTTATCAGATAGGAGTTTTGCAAATTTTTCTTTTCCAGGGAAGTGAGTTGTCTTGTCTTTACTGATCTTTTAATATTCTTTACTTTTTAAGTATAATTTATTGGATATAAAATTCTAGGTTGATGGCTTTTTTCCCAACACTTTGAATATTTCGTTTCATGTTCCTCTTGGTTATGTAGTTTCTGGAGAAGGTCCAAGGTAATTCTTACCCTTGTTCTTTTTTTTTTTTTAGTCGTTGATGGACCTTTATTTTATTTATTTGTATGTGGTTCTGAGAATTGAACCTAGTGCCTCACACATGCTAGGCAAGTGCTCTAACACTGAGCCACAACCCCAGCCCTTACCGTTGTTCTTTTTTAGGTAAGGTTTTTTTCTCCCTCTTGCTTTTTCCATGGTTTTCTTCTTGTTTTTTTTTTTTTTTTCTATCTGAATATAATATGCTTGGTTGGAGATTTTTAGTATTTTTACTGCTTGGTGTTCTTTGAGCTTCTAGACCTATGATTTGATATCTCTCATTAATTTGGGAAAAGTTTGGCCATCCTTGCTTCAAGAATTTCTTCTGCTTCCTTCTTTTCCCCTTCACCTTCTCAAATTCCCATTGAACATATTATATCTTTTGTGATTGCCCACAGTTCTTAAATATTCTTTTTCATTTTTTTGTTGTTGTTGTAGTTCTTTTTTCTCTTTGCCTTTTAGTTTGGGAAACTTCTATTGCCTTGTCTTTAAGCTCATTGATTTTTCATTTCTGTTATAGTCATCTTGATTTCTAACATTTTCTTTTGATTTTTTGATGGAGTTTCCCCTCTCTCTGCTTACAGTACCTGTTCTTGTATGTTGTCTGTTTTTTCCCTTGGTGCCCTTAGCCCATTAATCATAGTTAAATTCCCAGTCTTATAATTTCCATGTCTCTGCCATATTTTAATTTGGTTCTCTTGTTTGCTTTATCTCTTGAGCCTATACTTTTTCTTTCTTTTTAGCATGACTTGCAATTTCTTGTTGAAAGTTGAACATGATGTATTAGGTGATAAAAATTGAGGTAAATAAACCCTTAGTATGAGGAATTACATTTATCTCATTAGGAGTTAGGCCATGTTTACTACTCGCTTTAGCAGTTGGTATCAGAGACTTCAGTTTTTTATCTGCTTTAGTTTTTGTGTTCCCTGTTATTTTGGGTTTGCCTGGGAACTCTTTGTTAAATAGAAATTGTGTCTTTGAACTCTCTGAGTTATAATTAAAACCCTGTTAATGTGGCTATGTTGCATTGGGAAGGGGAAGTGTTCTGTATATTAATGATATAATGTTAAATTAGAACCCTGTTAATGTGGCTATGTTGCATTGGGAAGGGGAAGTGTTCTGTATATTAATGATTAACTCTTCAGTTTTTTTAGTGGGTCATCATCCTGGGTCAGGACCTTCAGAAGAATTTCTTAGTGTTATTTTTCTTTCTTTCCCTTATTTGAGATAAGCAAGCTAGAGGGGCTCTAATTGTGTAATTGGTCTTCCCTTAGGTCAGATAAGGCTCTGGTAAAGGAATTTCTCTTCAGGACAAACCTGTGTCAAATAGAACATAGACATATTTCAAAATGGTTAGTTTCTCCTTGCTCATGTACAGAATGTGAGAGGATTTTTCTCTGATCTTCACTGTGAGAATTTGGTGGAGCTTTTGGAAATAAAATTGACCAAAATGTTAGAGATCTATTAATGTAGAGCCTCCCTAAGATCAAGCATGTTCACATTTAGCCTCTAGGATTTTGTCAGTTACCATTAAGTATTCTTATAGAATCTAGAGGCTTCTATTCCTGATAAGCCATGATTCTCTGAATTTGCCTATTTTTTCAGTTTTTCAGATGGTGGTTTGCCATGTGACTTAGTTCTCTGGTGGAGTTAAACAGAGTTGTTCATTTTTAATTTGTTCAGCTTTTTTCTTGGTTTGAAGATGGAGATGATTGATGACTTCCAAGTTTTACATGTTCAATTGGAGAATGGAAGTTTAATTATTATTTTTCCCATTTATTATGTCATGAACATTTTATTTAGTAAAATTATATAGGATTTTTTTAATGGTTGCTTTATATTTTACCCTATTCATATTCCATAATTTAAAAAGTACTTTTTGTGGTTATATGTGTCTTGTTAAAAAAAGAATTTTTTTTTTTTTACTGTGCAACTATTCATCATACATACAAATAAGGAAGAGAATTGAGAACTATAAAGCTTTAGTGAGGGTGTGGTTCAGTGATAGAGCTCTTGTATAGCATGAGTTCAATTACTAGTACTGCCACAAAGAAACAAAAACAAAAACCCAAAGCAAAACAAAACCCCCCAAATCCCCAAACAGAAAACTACGTACCCATCACCCAGCTTCAACAAATCATGAACAGTGAAATAGCCAATTTTGTTGTATTTATTTTGTTGCCTCTCCTTTTTTTCTGTAATATTTTAAAGCAATTTCTAGATATTATATTTCACCAAATAGGCACTTGGAAATGAATCTGTAATAGATAGAGCAATTGTAACCATAGTGCCTTTATTGCATCAAACAAAATAATTTAACATCACCTAATACCAAATTCATTATTAAAAAAAATTCTGGAGGGACAGGAAGATGGCGGTGAGGGGAGTGCATTGCCCCTGTGTGCCGCGTCACTGTGTGGGAGTAGGACGAGTCAGGACGGCTAAAGGCTATCTTGTTAGGAATTTCCAGCAATAGTGGGGTGCTCTGGAACCTGGAGGAAGGAATTCCATCGCACGAGGATCGGCTACGGGGACTCAAACGCGAGAGATTTGTCGCACGGAGGGTAACACTGCTTATTCAGCAAATCGCCCCGCGGCTAGAGTCTGCAGCGCGCGCTGAGAAACGAGGAGATAGCGACGCAGGGTTACAGCGCTGCAGTTTCTGCCAGCCGTGCAATCACCGTACTCAGTGCTGAATTCTGGGTTCTAGACAGGGGAAGGAAGCAGTCCAATTCGGTTCTCCACACCGGTCAGACCACAGAGGAGGCCAGCGGCCACCATCTTGGAGAGCTGACGTCACCATCCCTGTTTTCTTTCGACTGACATTCAGCCATAGAGCAGGTAATTTCAGGCTGCCATTCGCCTTCGGCTTGCAGACAGATTACTCAGGCTCAGTGCTAAATAACCCACGGAAACTGCTTCTTGGAGCCTGCTCTTATCAGAGCATACACTGAGCACGGAGCGGCCGAGTTCCGGCTCCCGGAACTGCTCTGGCCCAGGGCTAAGGAGCCCGCGGAAACTGCTTCTCGGTCCGGGTCCTGCTGAGTACTGTGGAGGTAAATACCAACCGAGCCTTCGTGGGCAGCGGCAACAGGACTGAGACGGGGCCTGTGAGGGCCGGTCAGGACTCACCCGTTGCTTTGGTTACTCGGCAAAGGGAACGAAATGCTGCCATTTGCATAGGATACCAACATGGCAGATCTGATGT